CTTTGATGATAAAACGGCTTGCCATACTCTTCCTGTGTTTGCAGAGAACCAGACGAAACCCACTTGTGCGCATGAGCAGAGGAGATTTTGGGGTTGGGTTTATCGGTGGACTCAAGATGGCGACTCTGGCGAAAGCGCCAACATATTTACAGAAGTAAATGTCCGAAATTGACCGAGATAGCGGGTTTCCCAAAGCGCTTTGGGAGTTTTGTGAGACATGGAGACCCGGGGCATGACTTCGGAGAGGAATTGACCGGATTTTGTGCCGTAACAAACCCCGGAGATGTGCGAGAGCTATGCCCGCTCGCTGCTGCGTGTTTCGGTGGCGCAGATCTGCCAGGCTCTGGGCTGGGATGCGGTTCAGCTCACAGCGAGCGATCTGCTGTCCGATGTGCTGCACAGGTACATCCAGCAGCTGGCGAGGGTCTGCCACCGGTACTCTGAGCTGTGTAAGTGCTCCCTCTGATACTCTGATCACTTTTTTCACTCCTATAAACCTAAAGTTGTCGATCACGTTGTTGTTGACTTGCTCTGCAGCTGGCGCCCCCTAGCTCAGCCCGATGTGTCAAAAAGTACAGTAGCTGTATAACTCCACACACCGTGAAAAGAGTGAACTACTATTTAATTATTTTGGCCATGCTTTGATTTGCTATAACATCTGTGAAATTACGTCATTCTTAGACCTGCTGATCTTCACTTCCTGTGTGCTGTCAAACTTCTGTCACATGTTATGGAGCCCTGAAATGACACGTTATGACAGAAGAGTCACATGTGCCATCATGCCTCACTGTCTTTATTTTTGATCCTTTTGTTTCAGATGGAAGAACAGATCCGGTTCTGGACGATGTCAGCCAGGCCTTCAGGCTGATGGGGGTCAACCTGAGCGAGCTAGAGGACTACGTCCACAACCTGGAGCCCGTGGCCTTCACTCATCAGACGCCTCTGTTCCCTGTCAGCAAGAACAACGTTTTGCAGTTTCCTCAGCCTGGAGTGAGGGATGCAGAGGAGCGAAAGGATTACATTCCAGATTATATGCCACCCCTGGTCTCCCTGCAGGAAGGTCTGTATGCATATTACTTGGATTGTGCAGTGTTTTCAGTAAGTGTAGAGCTTTATTTGTGTTCTTGAAACAAATATGTAGTTTTATGCAGTTTGAAAAGACAATCTACTGCACACTTAAAGTTGACTTCATTGGTTCCAGTTGAGTTTTGATGTGTGTGGTCAACAGATGGAAAATTTGATCTATAATTTCTCAGTTTCCCAGTGTTTTCTCCTATTTTGCATAAGTAACTTTAACCTTCACACCAGGTTTGCAACAAGGTTTGTCATAATCCGCTACTTAGTAATAATTTAGTGCTTCAGCTTTAGAAAAAAGCCACATTCTTTTAGCTTTTGCACGTTTTTTGAGTCACAGACTTATGTTAAATGTGCAAAAGTGGGTAATGTTGTTCTCTTTTAGTTTCAAAAAGTGACACTTTTACAAATTAAAAATGTTTAAAAATGCATTTATGCTGCTTAGTATTATGCTTTCCCTTACTAAAAGCAGTACATGCAAGTGTCTTTTAAGTATACTCATTATACGTATTAGGGGTGCAACGATACAGAAAAATTCACCGTTCGGTTCAATACTTTAGTCTCACGGTTCGATATTTTTTCAATACAGAAGAGAGAAATTTCCATGCTCTTTTTAACTTTTAATTTATTTAAATTAATTATGAACATTTGTTTAACCTCAAAATTACAGTTTTTAAATTAAATGTTAATGAAACAGCAAGTTTCTCAGTGGATCTGCGGTGTCAGAAGACAAGTTGATGAAATAAATGTAAAAAATCTTTATTGTTTGATACAAGCATGTATCGAACCTAAAGCACTGTATTGAACGGTTCGATATGGGTACATGTATTGTTACACCCCTAATATATATATATACATATAAAAAATAAGAGCGTATACTTTCAAGTTACTTTTTATGTACTTATCAGATATATATACGTAATAAAGTTTGTGTTACCTTCAGTTGGGCATGACAGAAAAATGTATCCCCGTTAATTGTGGCGTTTTGCAGATAATGTGATGATTATTAGATGACAGTTGCGTTTGCATGTAGCCAACGCTGTGGCCTTCGTCCACATGTTCTAGCAGTTATTTGTTAATTGAAAAACACATGCTGGTCAAATTTTAAAAAAGAATCAATGTTGAATATCAGCCATCCTCCATAGATAAGCTCATATTGATCAACCTCGAATGAGATGTCTTCTTCTTGTCTTTTTGCTCAACAGAAGAGGAGGAGGAAGAGGTTCCTCCAGACATGGGCACTTCAGCTGAAGCCATGCAGGTGGCCATGGAGGAAGACGAGGAGGAGATAGATGAAGACGAGGCTGTCAACGACGAAAACCATCCATTGAAGAGGCACTTGGACAGTCCCGACGCAGCTCTGGGCATGATGCCCACCTCCAAGAGGCCGCGCATGTACCCGGGCCTCAGCCCAGAGTGGGGAGTGGAGCCCAGGGAGCCCCTCACCTCCCTGAACCCCCAGCGCGTTCCGCCCGGCATCCTTCCGTCTCACGACAGCCTCGACCCCCTGTCACCTGAAATCCCCCCCTTGGCCCTTCCTTCGTTCAGACCTCAGCCGGTCATACCAAAACTCTCCGATCAGAAGGGTCTCCCCACTCCAGTGAGAAAGCCGAAGGTCTCCTCCCCTGGCAGACAACGGACTAAGTCCCCGAAAGGGATCATTTCCACGCCGTTAATCGGCAGCCCCATCCATTCTCCAAAACCTTCTAAAGAAAAGAAAAAGTCTCCAAGCAAGACCAAGAGCCCAAAAAGCCCCAAGAGCCCAAAGTTGAGTTTTGCTAAAGCACCGCAGCCTCAGAGCAAAGCAGATGTTTTGCATAAGTTACCGCTGTCTGCGCTGACCGAGAGAACGGGTAAAGAAAACATTCAAATGCGTCCAGGTCTGGAGGACCGGGAGCCACTTAAGCTTCCGTTTGAGAACCTGGAGCCGGACAACACGGCCATCGACGACTCCATCGACGCCGTGATAGCGAGGGCGTGTGCCGAGCGGGAGCCCGATCCGTTCGCGTTCTCCTCTGGCTCTGATTCAGACAGCAACGGGTTCTCCAGCCCCAGGAGGCTGACCATAATGGAGCCGTCCACGCCCAAAGTCCCCCTCGGAGTCGGCAACTTGTTCAAAGACACGTCGACGCCCCTTCATCTACAGCCACACCTGGGCCCGGACAACTGGACGCTAGTGGAAGATTCCATCAACGAGGTGGTCCGAAAGGCCAACCAGGGGGGAGCGTCTGCGGCCCCTCCGAGTCAAGCTCCGTACATATCCTCGGGATCGGCTTCACCGCCGACCCCGGAGCCCCTGCTCAAGGTGTTCGAGGAGAAGAACAAGATGGTGTCGCCGCTAGACCTGAAGAAGAAGCTGAAGAAGGAGCTGAGGACTAAGATGAAGAAGAAGGACAAAGAAAAGACGAAGGACAAAGATCGGGACAAGAGCAAGCTCAAAGAGAAGAACAAGGACAAGAGCAGGGACAAAAACAAGGAGTCTTCCAAGGATGTCAAGATGCCCTGGAAGGAGTTTGGACTGAAGGACGAGGACCTCTTCACCCCGCGGGATTTTACTCTGCCGGAGGGCTCCATCAAAATAAAATCAAGAGACGGAGACGGCCCGAAGAAGGACAGGGAGAAGCATAAAGACAAAAAGAAGGATAAAGAAAAGAGTAAAAAGGACAAAGACAAGAAGGACAAGAGCAAAGACAGGAACAAGGAGGACAAGCAGAAACAACCCGTGGTGCCTCCGTTCTCCCTGGGGGAAATCCCACCGCTCTTCAGCCCCTCCACCTGCCTCCGCATCCCCTCCATGCTGCCTTCGCTCGCACCCATACTCCACGAGAAGGAGGTGAAGAGCAAGGACAGGGAGAAGAAGAAGGACAAGAAGGAGAAGAAGAAGAAGAAAGACAAGGAGAAGGACAAGGAGCGAGAGAAGGTCAAAGAAAAGGAGAGGGAGAAAGAGGAGAAGAGGAAAGAGAAGGAGCGGGAGAAGGAAAAACGAGAAAAGGAGAAAGAAAAAGAAAAGGAGAGGATTCGATTGGAGAAGGTAACGTTTGTTTTATGTTGTTTTTTTTTTTGAGTTTGGGTTAGATCGTCTCTAAACGTGACGTTTCTCTTTCTGTGTGTTCAGGTAAAAATGGAAAGTCCAGCAGCCTTACCGTCTCCGGTCATCCCCAGACTGACCCTCAGGGTGGGGGCCGGTCAGGACAAAATGTGAGTTTATGGTGGGAGGTTTTACTGAAACACAATGAAACTGATGAAAATATTTACTTTTATTCAGTCTTTTTTATTGGGATAAAGTTCTGTATTAGCTCTCAGTTTTTCATAGATTATATTCTCCTAAATCACCAATACGTTCAGAGTTCTATGTTCATAGTTTATAGTTATTTATTTTTTTATTTTGAGTGAGTGAGTTCTATAATTTAGACATAACAGTGCCAGTTTTTATTCTTGTATTCACTTTTATGCATCGAACTTTATAAAAGTTTTGCTTTGTTCTGAATAGAAACTAAACCTTACTTTCAAATTTTGTTTTTGCATCTTTCTAAAAACTCAGTTCAGCTATTTGTTTAAGTTTGTAAGTTATGTGCAAACTGTTCTTACATTTATTTTATTTTAGTTTTTTGAGTGGGAATAAAGTATCCTGCACTGATACAAATAATAAAACCTTCAAACTTGAGTTATTATTATTAATATAATTGTTATTTTTTTAATTCTCCATCTCAGAAGATTCAAAATGATTCGTAGTTTGTTGAAATTTGCCGATTTATCACCTGGCCTGGCAACAAGCTATTTTGTATTACGAGCATGCCGGTTTTTAACTCTATTTTTATTGGTCTAGAGTGATGTCATCAGGGATTTCAGTCCTATATATTTATAAAAAGGAAATCCCCGAGCTTCATATTAACACCACGCTTTATATGAATTTGCTACAGCAGAGAGAAAAAATTAAAGAAATTGAAAAGATTGTTTCTAAAGACGTCTGTTAGAAAACTTAAATTTAACAGTAGATTAGGAAGATTACGGTTAGGGATGTCCCGATACCACTTTTTCACTTCCGATACGATACCGATATTACAACTTTGAGAATTGTCCAATACCGATATTGATCCGTTACCATAACAGTACAAGTCACACACTTTTACCTATTAACCCTATTTTGTAGTGTAAAATCTTAGAAAAGTCTTGATCAGGTCAAACAGTGAAAAAGAGTAGGTATGAGAAAAACTGACCCATTTATTTTTAACCAATGGATCACATACATTTTACACTGAAGAACATTATACAATTTAATAAAATAAATTATAATACCCTGAAAAATAAAATGTAATAAAAACAAAATGTTCTTTTACAGTGTAAAATAATTCAAACTCACTCCAGTTATTTTTTTTTACCATCTGTCAGCCTTGTGCTGCTTTATGGTGGGAATAACTGAAGGTGGAGMCAAAACAAAACCCCACATTATTGTCTGTTCAAAGTTAGGAGTCCACAGGTACAATTTTACTGACTGTAACCAAAACAATGTGACCATTGCACTTAATCTTCACTCAAACAAGTGTGTAAACAGATTAAACATCACTCTAATAACAAGAGCAAAAAATAAATAGTAAGAATTAGTCAGTTATTTAAATTGATAGCTACCTTTCTTACTGCTGCATATTCTGAGCATCATGTGGAGATCAGCCTCTCTCTCCTGCAGGGAGCAGGTTTTATCACTGCTCTCATGTTGCGCTCATATTCCAACACAAAATCTGCGCTCTTCCTTTCTTCTAATCGAGCTAATCCACGGGATGTTAAAACTGTAAGCATGCTGTCCTCACTTCTGCCAGCTTAGAACCACCGACCGGACCAGAGAGGAGGTTCTGAAACAGCGCGGCTGTGTGCGGTCACTGGACCGAGGCCGAACGAACCGAGCCGAACCGCAAAGCTGCTGCCAGGGTGGAGAGTAGTTGTTGCTCCGGTTTAAAACGTTCACAGTTCTGTGTTCCCCTTTGGAAAACTTGTGCGTGACAACTTTGCACTTAGCTGCAACTCTGTTTCTGATGAAAATAGAAAGTTCAGCCGACATTCTTGCTAACTTGTTAGCGCAGCATGTTGTTGTGATCATGTGAGCTCTGCATGCTGGATCCAAGAGCTGCTGGATAGAAACACTGGAGTGGAGTCAGTGAACTGCTGGAACAGACTGCTAATATCGGAGCGCTTATATCGGACATTTTTTATGCAGGCCGATAAAATCCGATACTCGTTTTTTGGCTGATATCGGACCGATATCCGATATCAATATCGGATCGGGACACCCCTAATTACGGTTACCGGGATCACAAGATGGAGTCTGTATAAATTAATTTTTTTATCATTTTTATTGTTTTGAGCTGCAGCCTGTGCTCTTTCTGACTCATTTTACCAGAACAGGTCACACATCATTAGACTTGGATATTTTATGCTGAGTAATGACAAACCTGTTGTCATTCTGGTCCATTTTGACATTAACATTATCCAATATAGTGATGTCACACTCAGTATGTGTTGTGAATGATTCTCAGT